TCGGACACAGCGTAGATTCAAGCTTCTACAGTTTAACAGTTACATATAAAATGTGTAATTGTTGGTGGAGCTTATTAAAAATAGTTTATTCGTTGTTAAAGCTTCAGTGAAGTTGTTCTCAGAATACAACTTTGAAAAATCCTGAGTAACTTTTAATAATAAAAGCTGTTATCATATTTATGTTATATTTAAGTTGTTTGTAGAAACAAAATTATAAATAAATAAATAAATAAACTTTTTCCAATTGTCTTGGTTCTGGACATTCTTAGATCAACCACCTCGTAACACCTTGATGGACCAAAACACATTTGGCTCATTAATTCATTGCAGAATGCTGTGGAACTTTGCAATGATAAACTGAATACATTTCATTAAAGTAAATTTTTATTTAAAACCCAGCTGCATTATTATTGGTGTTGGGTTGAGGTCTAACTGGGCCACCACCACTGAGAACTACATCTCCCAGAAAGCACCAACAAAAAGGCGGCTGATTGCTGATGAAAAACACCTATGCAGGATGGTGGCTCTCAGTCCTCAGTCTAACAGGAACAGCACAGCAAGCTCTACTATTGAAGTTTACTCTAAAGACACCAATGGTTGGTAAATATTTCTGGTTTATGTTAGTGAAGTGTTTAAGTTGTACCTGGAGAGTTTTCTGGTTGTCTGAGTAAGTTGAAGCACTGCATTATCATAGTGATTTGATTGAAGAGAGTGATTGTTGGATAGGTAATTTATGTGTTTAGCAAGGTAAAAGGTTAAAAGCATTAATTAACAAGCTTGAAGGCAGTTGATTTATTTGTTTTGTTACTTGATGTGGTACTTGATGAAATATTCAGTTAAGGTGTTCCCTTTACTGTTCGATTCCTTGATTTAACTTAATTCGTTAAGGGGTTTTATTAATTCATTTGAAGTACTTTAAAGTAAAGTTAATTCTTTCATTTAATTTACAATGGTTTATTTATCTGAAATGTTCGATTGATGTATTTTATTTTTTACTTTTGAAATGTTTACAAAATATTGTTGCTAACCTTTGTTTATGTGCTTTGAAGGTTATCAGCCTGATGAAATCATGCATTGATCAACTTGAAACCAACAAATCTCAGAGTTGAAAAATAAAAGTTGATGAAAAGAAAAATCAAGAGATGTCCCTGAGTGTCCCTTTGGAGTAGAACTAGTGTGGAGCTCAACATCCTATTGGATGGTCCATTATGTTTTTGGTTTTCTTCCTTCTTACTAATTAAACAAATACTGTTCTCCACGTTCTATACTTGCTCTCCAATCGTACTCCATCTTGGAATGCTAGCAAACAGTGGGCAGCGCTGTCTCAAAAACGGTACAAGCCTGAACCTGCGGTCTCCGGGTCTGCAGCGATACCCTCCTCTGGCTCGTCAAGGGGGAATGACGTCATTTCTTCTTCAGGTTAACTGTAGCGTGTCTGTATTAAACTGTCAAACTGGAGTGTGGCTTCCTGCTGTGAGAAGTATCACTCAGACTAAAGTCACTAAACACCTGATATTTACTGTCCGGTAAAGGCAGACATGTCCTCACCTGGGCACACGGAAACAGGAGGACCCAAAGTCGTGCTAAACACTGGTGGTCTGTTTGAACCGTTTCCTCTATGTGGTTAACGTACATAACTGAGGAACTTCTCTCTGGAAAAGGCAACACAAATCTACCTTTATTGATTCTGGATATGACTGCATGCAAACCCTGCATTATAACATGAAGGTACAGTAATATTCCCACATCTGGCCCAGTGCAGCATCATCAGCTACCTGCTAGGTCCATCATCCGATAGATGAGATAGTCCAGCTTTACCTCTGGTGTTTTTCAAACCCATATTTTATCTGCACGCGGTTTTTGTAGGGCAGCAGCACCTTCTGCCAGGATCCATGCTGCTCTGAATCAACGTTAAAGATGATAGAAGACTAAAGAAGTCATGTGACCCTCCTCTGCCTGTCTGAAGTGCTACAGTCTGACTTGAGGCCACCTGAGAGAGAAGCTGCAGCCCCAACACCTCCTGGACTGCACTCAGACACCGAGTCTAGCTCCTGTTTGTGGATAACTCCTCCTGAACAGCTGATCAGGTCAGTCAAGCACATCCAGGAGTGCTTCCATCATTAGGATCAGAGCTTCAGCTGAGAGCAGAAGCAGAGGGCTGCAGCCTCTCTGCCAACAGCTGAGGAAGAACCCCTGACCCATCACAAAGACAAACTAGAAACATACCGAGGATCCTGAGCTTAATAACATTTCTTTTGTATTCATTGATTATTCTGTGACGGGCCTTTAGTATGGAAGACTATTCTGTAAAAATGCTGTAGTCTCACATTTAGACATTTGTTCATTTACCATCAGACAGTAAAGACAGAACCTGTAGACATGACTGAACAACTAAAGAAATCATCTCTTTACCTGTAATTCTCCACCAGCCTTCATCAGCTCACCTGTCATTCACCAGTGCATCCCTCAGCCTTTCAAACGTACTTTCATAAATCCAACTGCTTCATCAAGTGAAGGACGGGTCAGCCAAACGAGGACACGTTTGTCATTAGATATGAGCCTTCTTTAACTAAACTAACCAACCATTTTACAGGCTCAAGCAGCCTCACAGCACTAAAGTTCAAGAACGCAAAGGCCAATAAGCACTAGTTAGTCACTAAAATATCACTAGTCACTAGTTAGTCACTTGGTAATCACTAGTCACTAGTTGGTCACTAATTGCTCACTAGTCCCTAGCTAGTCTCTTGGTAATCACTAGTCACTAGTTAGTCACTAATTAATCACTAGTCACTAGTTAGTCACTAATTAATCACTAGTCACTAGTTAGTCACTAATTAATCACTAGTCACTAGTTAGTCACTAATTAATCACTAGTCACTAGTTTGTCTCTTGGTAATAATGAGTCACTAGTTAGTCACCCATTGATCATTAGTCACTAGTTAGTCACTGATTAGTCACTAGTTAGACACTCATTGCTCACTAGTAACCAATTAATCACCAGTCACTTGGTAATTGTCACAAAGTGGAAAGGTTTTGGTTTTTAGTTTAAGTTGCATGATTTGCCTCATTATTGTTGACATGTTTATTTTGTGTTTTGAATGGTCTTTCCCATCGTAGTACCTCCCAGAGGCACTAATCTGAACTGATGAGCAGGTGTGGAATGCCCACAGGTGCAGTGTGTGTGTGTGTGTGTGTGTGTGTGTGTGTGTGTGTGTGTGTGTGCGTGTGCGTGTGCGTGTTTTCCACTTCAAACACTGGTCTAACCAACCAGACCAGCGTGTCCAGTAACACATTAATGTTACAGTTAGACAGTTTCACTTCATGTAGGCTAGGAACATTTCACCTGCCGTGGCCCGACCTTTTCTGCTCCACATAAACTTTGTGCATGATCAAATGTCTCTACAGATGCTTTCTGAGCTGAAGAGGCTATTCTGCCTCAGACTGGATGCATCATGCGTCTCCATATTAGAGACGAAAACAAGCACTATTCAGCCAAAGTTTCATAATCAGAGAACATTTTCCAAGTGACACATCCCTCAGCGAGACCGGCTTTCCAGACCGCTTCAGGAAATCTTATCGCATGCGCCGTGGTTCTGCACTGCGCTGCGAACCCCTCTACAGATCTTCAGCTCACTGTCCACCGTGGACGCTCCGATCCACGCTGAACACAGTGTCCAGTATAAAGCTCTGATGTTCTGATGGGAATCATTTCTTGATTGATTTAGTTACCTCCGCGATGTGCGTAACGATTAAAATGTCAGCTCATCTGTGTGTGCATCAGTGTGTGTCGGGGTAATTCTTTCAAAACAACCAACATCCTTGAGTTTATCTGTCAAAATGCAGTCAAATGGAAATATCTGTAACCTGCCATTTTACTGTTTTGCCTTCTTGTGAAGATTGTTGCAGAGAAACAATTAAACTTGATTAACCCCAGAGCCATGCGCACTGCGCTGTACTCCGTGACTGTAAATGAGGGGGAAACGATTTAATCGGATACTTTTCTTTTCATCATGGTTTAATGTAAAGTTTCATTCAGTACAAACTTTAGTTACACCAATCTAACGAGACAGCCTGGATTTGTATTCTGAACAGTTTAAACATGTTTAAAACAGAGACATGCGTGACACGTCTAAAGTTCACACCAGCTCCACTATTAGGGAAATTAAACGAATAACATGAAATTATTTTAGGCACAGACAACATCCCCCACACTTTTGAAAAGCTTGCAACGCGCCTGCTTAGATGTAATTACATATTAAAAGATTTCCAAAGGGAAGAAATTGAAAAAATAAGAATATATCACCTTCCCTATCCCTCCTAAAGGGAAAGAAGTCCAATTTAAAATTTTGAATAAAATTTACCCAACAAATACTCCTTGGGGATAGATTTAGTACAGAAGCTGGTAATTGTGTATTTTGTGAAACAGAAGAGGAGGACTTAGACCATCTATTTCTTTGTGCAATTTTATACAAATATTTTGGTTGGATTTTCATGCCTGGCTTTGTTCCAGTGGGATTCAAATTACCCCATTTACCTTAAATATGATCATGTTTGGAGTGTTTTTGAAAGAAAAGAAAGTTAATTGTGGTGTTAATGTGTTATTAATTTTGTGCAAACAATTTATACATAAATGTCGCATTTTTAAGACCAAACCAACACTAGCTTATTGGAAAAACGACTTAAAAAGCTTAACAACTGTGTGCAGACAATCACGTGGTGGATGAGTAGCGGCACGTGACTGCAGTAACATCCCAGACGTCATCCTTTTACCTGACGGCAGTGCATCCTGGTGGTCGGTGGAACACTCTGCAGTTGTTAAAGCGCTAAAATTCGCATTTTCTTAAAAAAAATAAAAACAGCTGTTCTTGTGGCGGGAGGACAGTTTGCTCTTAGCGAGGGAAGATGGTTTGTTGCTAAATTAAATAGCCAATGGTACTAGAGCTCTTCTAGCCAATCAGAGGCAAGAAAGGCGGGATCTTCCTTGAACGTACTACGATTCCAAATAAAGTTTCCGGCAGCATCAGCCCACGGGGCGTGTACGTGTGATGTCTGTAGCCTCGCGTTGCTTGTGGGTTCTTACATCAGACCTCTTCTTTATCCAGGTAATGCTGCTCTGCGCGTTTGTAATAGTTTATTTGTTAAAAGACTCGTTGAGGCACCCCCCCCCCCCCCCCCCAACTTTTATTGTCATCAGCTGTTGTCTGTGGATAGTTTTTACGTGTTTAACGTCAGTTTTACGGCTTGATTCACACTGGTTAGAGAGCTGAGTTATGTGCATTAACCCACTGGTTATGTTTCCTGAAACGCGCAGCTTGTACATTATGCTGCGTCTGTCAGTGATGATGAACCAGGATCAGATGTAGACGGGTTGGTTGGTTCAGCAGGGTCATGGTAACTAGGCAGATTTTATAGATAAAATTTTAGCAGAGGTGGAAAGTAACGAATTACATTTACTCACGTTACTGTAATTGAGTAGCTTTTTTGTAAATTTATACTTTTTAAGTCGTTTTTAAAATCTGTACTTTTACTTTTAATAGAGTAAGTTTTTAAAAAAGAATTGTAATTCGCTACATTTTAAATCATATCCGTTACTGAGTAAAAATAAATTGTAGGCTTAATAAATTAAAAATATTAAGTGTAGCAGCGTCGGAAAAGAAAGAGACACCTGCATGAGCACCACGTCTAAACCGGGGAGGGGGGGCTACACGCTTTATGATGAGGACAAACAGCCATTTTTACCGCAGTTTTGCTCAAAAACAAAAGTTCTGTGAGCCACTCGCTGTTTACCTCCTCTCTCCCTCCTCTCCTGTGGGTTGGAACCTGCACCTTCGCGCACCGGTGTGACGTCATCAGAATTCTGCTCGGTTCGGCAACCAGACTCGGTTCCTGTTTGAAATGTGTTTCCGGACTTCCGGCAAAATGGCGGAGCGGGTGCATCACAAATTCTGAACGCAATCTATTTGTCCCAGTTATTCAACAACCTGACCATCCAGCTATATTCACCAGATATTTCAAGCTTTATATCATTGTGAAATTCACTTTTAAGAAAGAGTTAAGCCATGGAACCGTCTTCAAAACGTGACACGGCCGCTACCCACCACAACTACGCAGCAAAGATGGAAACTTCGGCTGAGAGCCTCAAAAGGAAAGACCCTTTCTCTCCGGCAAAGAACAAAACAACCTCCAAAATGAAGGACCAGACTACAGATGAAGGTACGAAGGCCATCCTTGAAGCGATAAAAAAGCTCACAGATAAAGTGGAGGGCCTCGGCACGCAAATTAGTCACAACTCCAATATGCTAGCTAGCATGGCTAAAGCAGTGGAGTTCAACGCAGCGGAGATCAAAGACTGTAAAACGCGGCTACAAACCATGGAGCGAGAGGTATCAGTCAATAAAAAAGATAACACCATGCTAATGGAAAGTGTCCTGGAGTTAGAGAGGTACAAACGCCGATGGAACCTCAGAGTCAAAGGATTAAAGGAACGTGAAGGAGAAGACACGCGAGATATGATAGCAAACTTGCTGAAAAAAATCTCACCTGAATGGGCTCCGAACATCAACCATATCGTGGATTCTGCTCATCGGCTGGGGAAAAGAGAGGAGAAAAGAACCAGGCATGTCCTCGTCCAGTTCACACAAAGATTACACCGTGACGCGCTGTGGAAGATGACCAAGGATTCCTCCATTTGCAAAGAACTGGGGATCGGATTCATTGAAGACCTCTGCAAAGCTGACAGGGAGGCTCGAATGGCGCTGTGGCCTAAAATTCAACAAGCACGGGCGGCTGGAAAACGAGCGTACTACAGAGGAGGAGACGGTTACATCGATGGTCACAAAATCACGGTCTGAAGAACAGGAAGACTTAAATACGGTCCGGATGGTCCAATAATTCAAAATATTGAAGGGACATTAACATATCCTTTTGTGCCTTTTTGAGCCTTATGTCCTTTTTTTTTTCGCAGACTTTTCCAAAAGTCGGTTGAAGTTATTGTTCTCTAGCAGTTGCTAGTTAGTTTAGTTAGTTTAATAATGAATGTTAATCTGTTTTGCATCTCTTTGAATGCTAGGGGCTTAAGAAACATTAATAAGAGAAAATCTATTTTTTTGTTTTGTAAGGGAGAGAAAGCTAACATTATTTTATTACAAGAAACACACTCACAACAGGAGGACGAAAAATTCTGGATTAATCAATGGGGGGATAAAATTCTTTTTGACCACGGCTCCACCAAATCAGCAGGAGTGGCCATTCTATTTTGTAATTCTCCTTGGAAATTAGTAGCTTCTAAATCTAGCAGCAATGGTCACTGGCTAATCTGTGTTTTAAATAGTGATGACCAGTATTGTATTGTGGCTAATATTTATGGTTTTAACAACCCAAATCAAAATAAACTCTTGCTTACAGAACTTTCTAACAATATCACTAATCTAAAACTAACCTACCCAAGTGCAAGTATTATTGTTGGAGGTGATTTTAACATGGTTTATGATGAGCATTTGGATAGATACCCTTCTAGGTGTCAACATAGTTCTCATAATTCCACCTTATCTAATTTCTGTGGCAATCACAGCTTAGTAGATCCCTGGCGCCTGGCAAATCCTAATTTTAAACAATACTCCTGGTTCAAACCAAATAATAACCTAAAATCTAGGATTGACTTCTGGTTAATTTCTGCTTCAGTTACATCTCATGTCTCAGACTGCTGCATGTCAGCAGCTCCTCTGTCTGATCACTCAGTTATAAAGTTGAAATTTGCGCCTCCTGGCGGTGGACTCAGAAATAAAGGCTACTGGAAATTCAATTCTGCATTACTAACTTCTCATGAATACTGTGATGGTATTAAATCTCTAATCACTGAAGTGATGGCTGATAACACTATAGGGTCTTATGTGTCAAAGTGGGAGTTTCTAAAATTCAAATTTCGAGAATTCTCCATCCATTTTGGGAAATCATTTCACAAAAACAATAAACTAGCAGAACTTAATCTAATTAAAGAAATTAATACGTATTGTAATAAGGCATCACCAAATGAAAGTGACAAACAAAAATTATTAACTCTACAAGGTAAGCTTGATGAAATGTATCTAAAAAAAGCAGAAGGAGCCTACATAAGATCCAGAGCTAAATGGATTGAAGATGGTGAAAAAAGCACAGCTTATTTTTGTCAACTAGAAAGAAGAAGGCAAGAAAGAAATTCAATTAAAACATTATTAATTCAAAATCAAATATGTACAGATCCAACTTTAATTGCAAAAGAATTGACCTCTTTCTACAGCAAATTATACTCAGCGGCCTTCTCTGAGACTGATTCAAACTTTTTCTTCGATCACATTAAGAAATTTATCCCGAGTATAGATGATGATTTTGCAGAGTTATGCGATGCTGATATTACTATGCTTGAACTAGACAACGCAGTTAAAAACTTAGCCATAAATAAATCCCCCGGTTGTGACGGCCTAACGTCTAATTTCTATCGACACTTTTGGGATCTGTTAAAAAATCCATTTATTCTTATGTTAAATGAAGCAACTGATACTTTATATTTTCCTCCCACTATGAAACAAGGCCTAATTACTCTGATACCAAAACCCGGTAAAGACTCTAAAATTATAGATAACCTTAGACCCATAACATTATTGAATACTGATTATAAAATTGTAACCTTAGCCTATGCCAATAGATTAAAAAGCAAATTAAACTCAATTATAAGTGATTCCCAATCTGGCTTTATGAAAGGTAGATCTATTCACAATAACATTCGTTTGGTGATGGATCTCCTAGACTATAGTCACTTAATTGATGATGACGGTTTTATCTTATTTCTTGATTTTTATAAAGCCTTTGATTCTATTGAACACCCCTTTATCTTTCAATGTTTAAAACAGTTAGGCTTTAGAAACAAATTCTGTGCTACCATTGAATCTCTGTATGATAATGCAACTAGCTCTATTTCATTACCAAATGGAACGTCACCACGATTTGATATTAAAAGAGGGGTTAAACAAGGGTGTCCTATCTCTCCCTTTCTCTTTATAATTGCTACAGAAATGCTTTCTATCTTTATTAAAAATTCAGATATTGCTCCCTTAAATGTTATGGGATTACCTGTAATCATTAGCCAACTTGCAGACGACACAACTATTTTTATGAAACATCTTACAGAGACTCCTAAGATAATAGAAGTTCTTAAGGTGTTTTCCCAGGCCTCCGGACTTAGTCTTAACTTAAAAAAATGTGAGTTAATGCCAATTCATCAAAGTGATTTAACAGAAGCATATAACATTCCTATTAGGTCAACGGTAAAATACTTAGGAATACATATATCCAAAGACCCAACTGAAAGGGAAAACTTGAATATATGGAAAACAATAGCAGAGTGTCAAACTAAACTAAACTCCTGGTTGTTGAGAGACATCAGTTTACTTGGGCGTGTCTTTCTTACTAAAATGGAGAGCATATCTAGATGTATCTACCCCGCATATTCACTGACCATTCCTAACAGAGCCATTAAAAAGATCAACCAAATCAACTTTGATTATATATGGAGGAAAAAAATGCATTACATTAAGAGAGCAGAAATGACCAAAGAATATAAAGATGGTGGACTACAAGCTATAGACTTTGAGATCATGGATGGAACACTGAAAATTAACTGGTTAAAATCCTTCTTTAACAATAAAAGCTTCTGGTATCATATACCCAGGGAAATCTTCAAAAGGTTTGGAGGCATTGACCTTTTGTTAAAATGCGATTTCAATATTAAGAAACTTCCGATTAAATTATCCCAGTTCCACCAACAAGTCCTTTTATATTGGAAGCTTTTATACAACCATAATTTCACTCCACACAACACGCCAATTTGGAACAATAGATATATTACAATTAAAAACAAATCATTATATAAGAAGGACTGGATGGACAAAGGCATTTGGTCCCTAATTCATTTAACTGATAATGATGGGCGTGTGATGACCCATGAAAATTTCTGTCATAAATATAATATCACAGTTGATCAGAATTCATTCGCTTCCATAATAAGAGCCATCCCTATTCCTACATTAAATCTAATTCAAGAAATTGTTTCGAACTCTCATTCAGTCTC